AAATCCAGTGTCGAGAAGTGTCTACCAAATGAAGACGTTGTATTTTGAAATAGTGCCTCCTGTAGTTTTTGCGGGTTTGTGCAGCCAGTCTCTTTTCTCCTCTGAGCCATTTTTACCAAAAGCAACTGGATCAGAATTTGACTGACAGACCAAGAATGGAAGAAAGAGGTTTTTCTGGGTTTTTTTGGGTTTTTTTGCAGGCCACGGTGTGAGTGCACCATAAGTGGGAGTGACAAAGACAGATCAAGTAAAGCTAAAGAAAAGGAGAAAGTTATAGAATGAGAGTGGGATGACATAGTGGGAGAGAGAGAGAGAAGCATCCTTTGATGTTTGGTGGTTGATGGAGCCTGCTGTTTAGGACGCAGGCAGGTATGGTAAACATCCAAGGCTTCTCCAACCAGAGGCTTTGATCACAGCCATATTGAGAGAGGATGTTGATGACTCACTGTTGTCAGAATACTAAAGAGTGGCCACTACACGCAGGAGTACAGTTACTACTGTATGGAAAAATACAGAACTTGCGATTGCAGCAGATACGCACATCCAGAAAAAAAACCTCAAAGACATGTTTTCTCTCGTCCCCTTTTTGTTTGGATCTTTTATTTCAACTTTTAAGCTCTCCCATTTCTATTTTCTTTCATCCTGATATGTGCACACGAAACCATAAAACACTTTAACGCAGATCCATTTCCACTGATTATGGTCCAAGCCTCAGAATGATCCTTTTATATCCAGATGAGAGCCACTAGCCAAAAGCCAAGTCTTTCAGCTGCGTCTGGCTAACATCACCAGACAATTCAATTGCACTGAGAGAGTGAAGAGAATTTGTGAGGCATCAGAGGATTATGAATGATATCATATTGCTCAGGTTCATACACAGACAATATTAGAAAGAAATTGCTTCAAGCGGCGGAACAAAAAAATATGAAAAGACCATGTACTAAACAACATGCACTCCAACAGCAGTCTGTTTAACAGGCATAATTTAAGACAGTGTTTTCATAGACAATGCTTAATTTCAAAAGCATAAAACATAAAGTTTTAAATCTTTATCTTTCTACCCCTTCAGAACTTAATTATCAATATGCTAGAAATACAAACACATATCTTTCCCTGGAAATGAAAGATAATCAAGTTTTTTTTCAGCCGTAAAATAACAAGCATGGACATTATTTCTTGTACCGGTTGTAAAAGTTTACACTGAATGAGTAAAAGGATTAGTGAAACTTTATAATTTTGCTCTGTACTTTGTTGTAAGCTACCTTAAAGCTTCTTTTGTGCCGAATGTTGAATTATTATGATGAAATAGGGTTGGGGGGAGTTATTGTTTGTCAAAAATGAGACACTCTATGAAAATTGGTGCAATCCGTACTGCATTCTGTTCAGTCACTTGAAATTCCCTCCAAGATATTCCATGATCCAAGAAGTGGAGGCATTTAGGAACCACAGAAACTCAGCGCATGGTCGCGTAGTGCATAAAAGTCATCAAAGCTCTGCTGACTCAGTAACTGCAGAGCTACAAATCTCCTCTGCCATTAACAACAGCCTCCAAACTGTGTATCAGGAGCTTCATGGCATGGGTTCCCATGGTGCAGCTGCTCCTGTAGGTTTAATGTGTAGGTAGCTCTGATATTTTTTATTGCAGCCAGTTCACTAACTCTGTAAATTAGATCCTTCTGCATAGCCCAGTCACTGCTTGTGCAGTGACTGGGCTATGCTTGTGCCCTGATGTTCAGCGAAATGTAATTTTCAAGACTTAAGTTGCAAATAAATTACATCATAAATAGAAACATTTATGAAGCTTCATAATGTCAGCTTTTATTATGAGTTCTTTAAATATAATGTTGCACAATACTGTTATATCACTGCTTTCACAGCTTTGAAATATACGCACATACAGATTCAAAGACATCCCATTAAAAACACCAATAACACACAGACGCACACACACACACAGCTCTTTCTCAAAGAGCCGTGTCTTATATGTGAGTGCATTCCCATGTCTTTTTTGGCTAGTGCAGTGTGTGTGTTTAATTCCAAATGACACTCAGCCTGAGAGTGGAATATACGGGACACACAAACTGTGACACACACCAACATGCGCTTTTTAACAGCTCACAGTGCAGTGGCACACCTGCACGTTCACCCACTCACCTGCACACACGGTTTCGGCTCGCCTCGGCAAATTAGGAATGCAGACAGTGTCACAGGAGCAGGGCAGGGCACTGATACAAGCTAATGTATCCTGGCACATTAGCCCTTTCTTGGATTGAGCATCCTCACCGAGTGAGACCCACTTTGCCATGCTACCATTTAACCGGCCACACACACACACACACACACACACACACACACACACACACACACACACATGCTTGCCTGCATGAACACACACACATCCGTACTTTGCTGCATATCCAATGTACTAATGCTCAAGTGGTAGTCATCCATAAATGTATCAGCGCACAATCAATAGGCAAAGCACATTTGTCTCAGATGAAAAACCATAGTCATATAAATTGAAATGAAATATAGAAAACTCCTCTTCCATCTGCTCTTCTTCCATCTGGCCTCCACCTCCTCTTCTGCTTTTTCTTTCCTCATTTTTCAGCTTTATTCTAAACTAATTTCATGCAATCTCATTACCCCATATTTGAGTGTCGCCCTCCTCTCTCTGCTTTTTCTTCTCTATTGTTCTAGCTTTGCACATATTTCCCTTCCTCCCCCACCTTTTTTTCTCTCTATTTCACCCCTTCTGTTCTTTGCTTTCAGGCTTTTTATTCTCATTCTATACATCTCTCCCTCTGTTTCTCCCTCTGCCTTCCCCCTTTAGTTGTTAATAAGAGTTGATTGGGAGCAGAGAGAGCCAAGAGGAGCTCCCTGGTGGATCAATGCCTCTAAATGATCTGTTCAAGGATCCCTTTAGAAGCTGCAAAACGCACTCTGATAGGGCACCGAAGCATGAAGACGCTCATTTCACATCTAACTCACTTCCTGATTTGCCCTCTGGGAGAGAGATAGGACTGCCGTTATAGGGATAATTTGTCCCAAAGCTAAATATCCCACTAACCAAGAGTGCTTAGACCAAAATGTCTTCATTCTAGGCAATCAATTACTGCCAAGGTGAGGGAGAAAATGATGAATTTGTTTAAAAAGCCCAAGCCGCCTGTGTGCGTGCTGTCTGTGACAACTAGATTGCACGACAGCTTGGTTTTGTTTAGGCTATGCTTATTTGATTGAAGACATTTTCCTGCGTCTCAAATTTACCGAGCTTCGACATACAAGATTTGATAACGCGGTGTAATGAATTTTAAATGTACTTGAGGTGGTACATTTGGAATTGAATTGATTGTAGCTGTGGTGATGATAATGAAGGTAATGAAAAACACCGGAGGACGTGGCGGTTGCAGACATCGACAGGTTTACTTGACCACAAAGAATAAAATGGATATTGCACTGACTATTTAAAAATGCATCGAAATGTTAGATGGTTTACTGAAAAGATGTTTATACTTTTACTCTACAGAGCTCATTTTTGCCCTGCTTTATAAAACACATCTGCTGTGCTCTTTCATAAGGTATTGGCTACTAATAGAAAGGAATTAAATGCAATTTCCTACAGGAAACAATACATTACATTTTATTTTAATTTAACTTAACTCAACTTAACTCATTGCCTGTTTAACTTAACTACCGAGTCAACATATACTCTGTCCTGCTGATATAAACATCCCAGAGCAATCAGCACCAGTTGCCATGTTTATTAATCAGCAAACAAAAAAATAGCCTCCAACAAATGCAAACGATTCATTATAAACACACCGTGCATTATTTGAAATGTATGTCTATAGAAAAACAAGGCAGGGAAATCCAGAAGTGTAGAGAGGCAGGCTGCACGCTGTTGGTTTTAGTCCTCATCGGCATTTGTTGACAATAACAAAAATATAGAGTATCTCCAGCCTCATCCTTTAAAGAGAGACTGTTTCACTTCACTGACTTCAAGATTGTAAACAGAAGTTCAGTTCTCTTATAAACAGCACTGGCACCAAAATATAAACATAAATAGAGCCTGTATTATAAAGGGAAAATATGCAGCCATATGTTTTTAATGTATTAAAAGTGACTAGCAGAGGTTGTTGAAAAAGGATGAAGGGGCCAGCATCTCATGCGTTTCCATATCACCTGCATTCTATGAATATTATAAGGGACTGCCGCAGTGTAGAAACTCCAGGATGAGCATTTTAATACCAATAGTTTTTTTTTTCTTTAATAACTTGTTTCGTGATGCCAACCTCACTGATCTGCATGCTTGCTGAACTAAGTGGACACCTACAACAGCAATGTGTGCTCTCTACCACGATGACCTACTTCTCTTAAGTATCATACCACAAGGTTCATTCAAGCACGCCGACTGGAAAAAAAAAACCTGTATTTGAAACATGCCTCGAATTCCCATAAATTGTAGTTTACCGAGCTTTATTAAAATAAAATTGGTTGCTATGTAAACTGGCATAACCAGAGGGATCATCATTGATTTTTCTGGCTTTAACAATATATTGTTTTGTTTTGTTTTTTTGTAAATGCCCTCTAGGATTTTTTTTTCTTTTCACTGACTCAGGTGGTTTAAATCAGAAAAGCAGTTTCAGTGTCCTTGAGCAATATATGGAAACTCTAAGGAGTGTTGTTCTGCGACCTTTGATTTGCCTCTGAAGATGTGGAAAAACAAAAATGTTCCAACAATCGCACAATTTCATATGGTTACATTGCACCGGATGACTACGCTAGGCAGATAGTTTCCTTTGTGCTGTGCAGTCATACAGAAATTGTAGTAAATATCGATTGTTTTTCAGGAATATAAAGATTTTTCTTAAAACGTAAGTCTTCCACGGTCTCATTTTACCACAGAAAGCACAGCTCCTCACAGATTCTGCGCAGATCCCTGAGTCTGTTCGCTTATTTTTTATTCATGAAGAATGTTTCCTTTTTTCTGTGTCTTACAGGTTCTGGCATGGAGAGTACAGGGTGGCAGTGAACATCAATGACTATCTAGACATCTATTGTCCATACTACGAGGGGCCTCCATCCCACGGACGCATGGAGCGCTACATCCTATTCATGGTCAACCATGAGGGCTACACTTCCTGCCAGCACAGGATGCGTGGCTTTAAGCGCTGGGAGTGCAACCGTCCCACCGGTCCCGATGGGCCCCTGCGCTTCTCAGAGAAGTTCCAGCTCTTCACTCCTTTCTCCCTGGGCTTTGAGTTCAGGCCTGGACACGAGTACTACTATATCTGTAGGTTATCAGCCAAGTAGAGTGTGTTTCTCTGTGTTTGGGGAAATTGTGTGTGCAGGTAAAGATGTTTGTTATCTGCGTGTGTGTGTGTGTGTGTGTGTGTGTGTGTGTGTGTGATGGTTCTGGTTCTTAGTACATCTGGTTCTTTGGTGTGTTCTCTGTCTGTCTGTCTGTTTGCATGGTATCCACGCTCCTGCTCAATTTGCATTTGTAAACAATATATAAATATGCAATCAACAGAAGCTGATTGAGAGCGTTCTCAAACACAGCCCGCACAAATACACCTTCCATCTCCTATTCGCCCCTCTCACTCCTCCCTCACTTTATTTCTTAGCGCATCTCGCTGCTTCTGTCGAGATCATAAGTGGTGTGCTCGGCAAAGTGGTAAAAATGTCAGCAGGCGTAGTTTGTAATCATTTTTATATTAGCTCTATTGATGTTTCTCCTCACTTCAACAAGTGATGTATTAGTATTACCCCCCTGAGACTACTTTTTTGAACAAAGCTATCATTCCCCCAGCAGGCGTGGGGCATATAGTAACTTCAAATTACTCTTAAACATTGTTTTCAACTTCTCAGTGTGGGATGGATTTACTGCATCCGGACTGTTTAGTGCAAAATCAGTTGGTAATCACAGAAAAGCAACATTAAATTGACTTTGGGAAGCTTTACTGTCAATGTTCAAACACAGGAAAGCACCACTTTTCCTTTTTATGCTGTAGGAGCTGCAGTTGACTGTTTTAGTATCCAAACCACCTGGGATGAAACGTGTTTTTCACAGAGCGCACAATTACAAGGACACCAAAAGCAATTGAAAAAACTATGTATGCTGTGTTATGCTTTTTTTTCTTTTCTATTTTTTTTGCTTTCATTTGTTTGGTTGGCTGATTTTATTTTTCTTTGTCAGTCTCAAATGACCGTACAGTTATTTGATGAGTTATGTAAACTCATCATTCGTTTTTGATCAGTTTAATTTTTAATAAGTACATGTCAGTCAGCAGTGTTAGAGAAAATACTTTGCTCTTGCAGGATTCAGTTTGCCAGCAGATAGCTATAACGACTCAGGAAAGTCATCCTATTCTTTTTTTTTCTGACTTGACCTTTGAGATTCTCTTAAGAAAAATCTTATTTTGTCCAAAAGATTATTTTTTTTACTGCGTGGAATTCTGCCAGTATGCAGCCTGACACGGGTCTCTTCATTTCTCCTTACATTATCGCTGCACAGTTGGCTGAAAAACTGACCTTGACCTTTTTAGCAGGAGATGGTGCATTCTCACCATGACTCATAATGGGAAGAAGGTCCTGTAGCACCAGTTTCAGGTCAGGTTATAGAGGGAGTTTTTTTGTCCTTGGATAGTGATTCTCATTTTACAGTGATATTGTCTTCATTCTGAGAGTACAAGGAGACTTTAAGCAAAGAAAAAAAGTTAGATATAGATAGGCAGATTCTGAAACAGGTTTAGTTTTTCAGGTTTTATTTCTCATGCAGCAACAGTAACTGTTTTTGCAATACAATTAATATAAAAACAAATGCGCAATGCGAAAATACAACACTTTTGCATTACTGAAAAGTTTGCATTTAAGACTATTTGTAGGTAAAGAAACTTTTTTTAAATGCTAGTTGTCATCTACAAATATTTACCCAAGTCTGTTGTCTGCACAACCACAAAGACACAGCAGGCGAGAGTCAGGGAGCTGAAGAGGAAACGATAACAGCCACCCGATGTCCCGATGCACTTTTCCCAGTTGGCACACATACACACAAGCACACATTCTTCTGTTTTCAGTCTCATGTAGGGATGGTTTGGGCCCCTCTAGTTAGTTGCTGACTATGGTATTGTGCTCACGGGACCCCTAGGGATAGTGTGTGTTCCACATGACTAGAATGCTTGTGAATGTGTTTCAATATATATCTGTGTGTGTGTGTGTGTGTGTGTGTGTGTGTGTGTGTGTGTGTGTGTGTGTGTGTGTGTGTGTGTGTGTTGTCGTGTGCTGTGTGTTTGTGGTGTGCTGGGGACGGCCTGGTCATGGGGGTCAGTTGTCAAGCGATTGTGAGTCCGTGAAAGGCCATGTCCATCATCTTGACTGGCAGGCGAACACACATTCTTGCCTCTTACCGTCACTCACATGCTCACATTAAACACACTCATGCACAGGTCAGTACTGATGTGGAACGACAACGTGCCGACCGTTTTAACCACCCGGCCTTTCCGCTAAGTGCCTTATTGTGTGCGTCCTCTCTGAACATACTTGTGAAGCACATATTTGATTGGCATTTGTGGTCACATCCATGAGAGTGCATCCCTGTGAGTGCACACTGGTGTGTGTATTTGTCATGGGGCTGACATGTTGACAGGTCAGCTCCACCCCTTGCTTCTCCCAGCTGTCATCTGATGAGGCTGAGTGGTTTTCAATGGGTTTTTAGGAGACTTTAGATTGTGGATGTGCTGGGAAAATGAGTCACTGGGTGAATTGGTGTGACTTTTAAAAATGACACAGGTGAAAATTGTTGGGGGTAACAAAGAAGAGGGAAAAAAAACCTTTCTAGCCATTTTGCCTTTTTCAGTCAAGCCAAAACAGAAACGTCCACTAGGACAAGCCTTAATGCTAGGCCCAAGTTCTTCTGCCCACTACAAGTAGTGCAGGGAGATAATCTGAAAAAAATTGATGGATAGGAAGTGGCCTATAGGTAAGGCCTTACAGGGTAAAGGAGGTGAAGGTCAGAGAGAAAGATGGAGGGAGGAGTCGTGGGCTAAAAAAGAGGGAGGAGAGGGCAAATGAGGGGTCAGATTTATTTCCTGTGCACTGTGGATCTCAAACATGATTCTCTATGGGGTCACTACTGGGTTGTGGCTTCCTCAAGGGAGAAGGCCAGTAGGTCTCCACGCACACTTCTGCAACCAACTGTGCGTGAGCACATTCTTTTACACATCTGCGTATGTGTGTGGGTGGCTGTGTGCTCGTCAGCATGTCTGACTGGTCAGAGACTTGGACACAATCTCCTTTAGGGTCTCCAGCTCTATTTCACATTGGAGCGAGGTGGGACTAAAAACCCAGATTCAATTTCATTTACTCTACTTTGAAGTTTGAATCACACTAACTTTTTAACATTTTTTTCTTTTTCTTTTTTTTTGGCATTCAATCTGGGCAGCAAGCTGGCTCAGTGGTTTGCACTGTTACCTCACGGCAAGATAGACCTGCGACTGTGGGGAATTTGCATGGATTTCCTTCCCCATTCCAAAGACATTCAAGCCAGGTTGATTTGAGAGTCAGTTATTTCCCTTAGGAATGTGAGTGTGAATGAATTTCAGTGATCCCTTACAAACTTGTTTACATTGCCTAACGTGCTTAGTGTGTTTATGGGAGCATATAGTATGAGGACATAATATATGAAACTCTGCACTTGCTTAAACTTCTAAACACTGCAACTGCAAAACAGTTAATTAATTAATTACTGGATTAATGCTAAATTGTGACAAATGTTTAACATGTTAACTGAAAAATTGTGTCTTTTGGATACATTTTTATGTCATCTGACATATTCAGTTAACTTAAAGTTTTTAAGGGTACGCTGCATACCAAGGTTTTGATAATAGCTCTGCAGGAACCACCTTGCTGTTGCAAACATGAACCGTGCTATCTTTGGTATTTTTTTGTAGACTCGGCTAAAGAAATTATGAACAAAAGATGTGTTTTTGATACAGGCTGCTAGTTACAAAGTGCATAAAGATACAAATTGAATTTTTTTTTTTGCTAAGTTATCTTTTATGTGTAGACACAAGATCTCTGGTTTGTTCCTCGAGTTAGGTGACTTTTTAATGCCTAAATAATTCATTGCTCAGTATTAAGTGGCTTAAAAATAAAAATTCCTCTGAAAATGCTCAGGTACAAGGACTGAAAAATAAGTGGGGAAAAAAAACATGTCCAAAGAAAAAACTGAAAGCCTTTTTAAAGGTCTTTTGAACTTTTCGTGGGGTTTACTACAAATGAAATTCAACACAGCCGGGCTTTCTTTGCATTCTTTCTTTCTTTGCACTGGCTCAACAAAACCCCAAATCCCATCCATTGGAGATCACACCAGTGGTTATCAACTAAGCCGTTCTCTGTTTCACATGTCCTGTGACTCTTTTTCAACACAATACTGCTACAAATAAGAGAAAAGACTAATGCTAAGTAAAGCCATCTTTGGATTTATTTCACAGAGCAGTAAAATAAGCATTTTAATTTATCGTTGCATGAGCCCTTTAAGTTTCAGTTTATATCTATGGTCCTCAAACCACATCTGTATTTGTGTATATATAGAGAGGTATCAAACCTCGTGATTTAGGTTAAAGGGGAGGTCATCATCAAAGTTACTGTCCTATAGCCTAATAAAGGAAAGTTTATCTGCAAATCAAAGTGATTTAATTGTACTGATTGACCAGGTATTTTTAGTGTGTGTTCTGTGTTCTAGTAGCTCCAGTTCCAGCAGTGTAAAAGAGACTTTTACAATTTTTTGCAATCAAGAAATTTTTTTTTACATTTTCTGCATTAGGCAATGCACAGTTTGTGCTTCATTCATTGATTTTAGTAGGGTAAGACTTAACAACTTGCAAATATAAAATGTATGCCACCAGCCGAGAATCTCAATTGCACATAAAGAATGCTGTAAACACGAGAATCAGTGAAAACGTGGCCAATTTAAAACCAAAACTCTGAACATACCCCAGCACAAGATACTACAATGATTTAGCCAAGTAAAAAGACAGCCACTTTCGTGACACTGAAAACTCTGGCTTTAACCTCAACATAGCTCACTAAGCCATTGATCACGCTTCACAGTACGCCCCTCTGGAGAACTATGGCTCGTGACAACTTCTAAAACTTCTAAGAAAGTTTGGCTCCTTGGAAGCAAAGTCTAAAGAGCTTTAAAGTATCTCATGACTTTCACACAATACTGTTGGTTCTTACTGGCTTGCAATATATCAGTTATTAAAAATGAAAAAATTCTGTCAAATCTATTTTTGGTTCACATAAACACAAAATAATCTTGTTTTATATTTGGTTATTAAATGTATTTGGTTTGCAATCAGCAGCAAAAATCACGTTATCTCTAAACTAATCTCCACTTTCAATGTCTCTTCTCACAGCATCTCCTCACCCAAACCATGTGGGGCGGGCATGTCTAAAGCTGAAAGTGTATGTCAGACCTCCAGGTAAGTCACGCTCTATCTACACACACATGCTCACTCACAAACACACAATGACATATACACACAGAGGTCCAGATTGGCTATCAAAGTAAAATTAGGGGGAATAAGAGGTCTGATAGAATGCCCCGGCAACAGACCTCGCTCTGATTCACAGACCGGCCAGGCAACACTTTAACACCTTTACCCACAGACACGCACGCTGAAAAAACACACGCGCGCGCCCGCATACTGACACATTCACACATGCGAGCGCACACGACCGTGCGCAGACGCAAGCACACACTTACAGGCACAGAGAAGAGTGCACCCACATACACACACACATAAGCAAAAAGTGGCATACGCACTTCACATCAAATCACATCACATCACACTGGGTGTGAGGGAGACCTTCTGTCCTTGTAGAAAGAGAACAGAGCCGGCTGAAAGTGCTCTCTAAGAATGTTACCAAGCCTCAACATCATCAGACTTGCTTGAATCACTCATAGGAAACAGAAAGCAATCTAATAATAAACCAGCTGCATGCAGTAGAAGTTTAATTTAAAGATTTAAAGTTTTCCTAATGTTTCAGGTTTGTTTTTAAAGTTGACAAGGCAGATGATGAGAAGATGAGGGATGACTTGCTTGCCACGTCACTGTGCAGCTTGCTAAAACACACACCTTTGATAAGTGCTTCCTCATAGGCAGAGCGCAGCGCTGACACTAGTGAGCCATGTTGTCCAATGATAGCGCTGTTTAAAAATAACTCAAGAGAAGCCTTGCGTACATGGGGATCAGAGTATGGCAAGCATTACATTATACTTGCGTTATCTTGAAAATCTACCTGTATGTCTACGAATGTGGATTTTTATCCCCCTCCCCCAGCCTAAACCCCACCAAGGAATCAAACCTGGGTAGTTACACGTCTCCCTGGATAATGACATGGCTTTGAAGAGCTTCATAAAAGAGAGTCAGCTTACACAGCTTTCCAGGTTCAGATCATTCCATATCTCGCTAAGGGAAAAGGAAATTCTCTCCTCCTTCATAATTACTGAAACAATGTACATTCTGTCGTTGCTCCAGCTCCTCTTTGAGTTGCTGTTAAAGCAATGTGTCTGACATTGCAGCTTCCATCTTTTCTGTGAAATGTTGTCATTCGATTGAGCTCTGAGCAGTTGTACATGTGTGTGAGTGTGTGTGTGTCTTTGTGAGTGTGTCTGTGTGTCAGCTGCTCCAGATTCTGAGTCTCTGTGATTAAACTGTAATTAGGTTGGTTAAACCCCCTGCAGAGCTCAGTTGCCGTCGTCTTCTTTTCCTCTTCCTCCTTTGCCGCTCCTTAGCTGTTAAAGGATGAGAGTTTTGTGCTTTGCTGCTTGCTTTCCACCTCTCCCCAACCGTAATCGTTTCACTTGTCTACCATTTTTCTTTGGCTAAATCCACCCCCTCGTTCATTTGCTGTGTTTTAGATTGTTTTGTCTTTGTCTGTGTGTCCTCTCTCAGTTCAGATGTTTTGTCGTTTTTTTTCTCTTTCTCATTTCTTTGTTTCAGATGGGTCGGGATATGATTCTCCGGAGCCTTTCCTGACTGATGGAAGTTCAAGCTGGAGGGCAGGGTGCATGACCCTCTTAGCTGCTCTGGCCTCACTCTTCTTGGGACTCTTCTACTGGCTGTGACCCTTCTCTCCTTCTTCATGGAGCTCCCGCCCAGGGATAATGGGCTGGGCTGGCTGTCCCTCTCAATCCACCACCCCTCAGGGAAGCCCTCTGTCTCCGTTCCGCTCCCACCGCCACCTCAATACAACCACCAACCACCCCCACTGCCAGCATCCTTTATGGCCCAGCCACGGACACCCTTCACAGGCCTGACTAAGAGGGCTGGGTCTTAAGCTGTCTGGGAAGTTGTCGTTTATCTCTGGTCCCTGAATTCCAGGTGGAAAAGCACCTCTCAGCTGAAAAACACAAGAGAAATGCCTCTGCACTCATATCAGAGGGTCCTTTTGATTTGACTATTGACTCTTGGCCACTGATGGGGTAGATATCGCCATGGCTATGATTAAACTTGTCGTTCTGGGGCAATTCCAATCATGCAATCACGGCAGGATGCATTAAGCGATAGGCCTGGATGCACAAAAATTGAATTTTGCTCACATTGCTATCCCATCCTCAAACCAAGAATTGGAAGTGGCCAAGCTTGCATTGTAATTGGAATTCTATGCTATCTGGACCAATTCCAGCTGCAACAACAATAAGAGCAATTGCATAGAGGAGAGGAGCACAGTGGCTCAGGCTGTGCAGAAAAGAAAGGGGGAAACAATATGAGCACAGATTTACATGAATACGTCCATATGGGAAATGTAATATTACACGTGTTGATATTTTCAGATCCAGTGTAGAGTCACTGCAATGTGATACAAAACTCATGCAGTTTTAGAAGAGACTCAGATAACTCATTTAAATGACAAGTATAACCATAGCCTGTTTCATTGGGAGGGTGTGGGGGTGTTCGGGGTAGGTTCGATGAGATGTAGATCTTCAGGTGGGATGTGTTCTGTCTTATTCGTGTTTCTAAACAAAGCATTTATCACAGCCTGGCCAGCACAGGCGTCTTCAGCACTGTCTAATGTTGAATGGGTCGGGTGACTTTTGGAACCATGATTTTCTCATGTATGAATGTACCACTGGTCACCCACCTCTTTGTCTTTCTGTATTATTATGACTGTGGTCACTTACAGTACCTTCTCTCAGACTGGCAGGATGAAAGAGTCGGGGATTTGAAAAGATGACATGTGGGAGTTGGGGCGGGGGGTGAAGTAAGGATGAACGGAGGACAGGTGAGAAAAGGAGGCGACACTTAAGTTGCATGACCACTGTGAAACCTTCAGATCAATCTTGTTTCTAATGATGATATATATTTTTTCATGGGGAAAATCAGAAACACCCTGCTGCCGCTCCTTTGCTCTCCCTGAGACTTTTTCAGACATCAAAAGGAAAATTTAACCTCTCTCCTCACACGGTTTCTCCTGTCTGGCTTTCAGTCGTTGATGGATTAGCTTGGGCCCGGAGATAAATGGACCCACAGGGTGAAACTGACTGGAAATCAGCCCTCAGAGCCCAGGCCAGATCACAATGGACGTAAACACTGACTGAAGCTGGTCCTGGGTCTGAGGGTTAAACCAATAAGGGAAGCGCATAGACTGTGGCAAATGAGGCGAGATGTGTGTGTGTGTGCGTGTGTAAGTGTGTGGTAGCATCACTAAATAACACATATGGGTGTATACACACGCACGCACACACACGCACACATATTCACATACACATGTTTAGTCTTTGATAACGAGACTGTTCCTCTGAGATGGTGGGAGCATTCATGGTCATGACTATAAAGGGAACAGCACAAAGAGAGAGCGAAGAGAGGAGGGAGGGGGGGAGAGAAAGCATGTGTGTATGATGGGACTGAGACCTCTTTAATGTTGGGAAGTGAACATAATGAGTAAGCACTGTGAACACACACCTGCATACACACGATGACCCATGTACAGATATACACACGTAAAGACATGTAGAAGAGCGAATGCAGATCTAGACATTTACAAAGACATGGCATGAACATACACACATGTACAATCACACACCACACACACACACACACAAGAAAACACAAACAAGGGGAAGCACTTCTTTCCCAACTTCATCTTATTTTTGTAGCATTTAAAATCACTGTTAATTACTCCTGTGTGGAAAGCAGTGATGGGGTATAGCCTGTGGAAGATTAAAAAAATGTGTCTTCTCTTCTTCTATTCCACTGATGCTGTCCTTCTATTGTTCTTCTTCTTCTCTGGTTTGTGATCCATGGTTGGTAGTGGTAGGATGCCTCCGGGGCTGAGCGTCATGTATGAGTTTGTCTCCTTTTCTGTTTGTTGTGTTCTTGTGGACGCTGACCTCAGTCATTAAAGTCAGTCAAAAGTAAACACAGAAGTCAGAGCAAGGAGAGAAACACACAAATAAAGATTGTCTTTTTGTCTACTCGGAAATCAAGCCAAGTGAGTGGAATTTCTTCAGTGGAAATGTGAATTAACTTTGTTTGTTTTTTGTTTTCTTCCTCCAAAGTGCTGATGATTGTATTCGTATATTAGACTGCACCTGGGTCTTTATTTTGCCCAGTCTATCTTCCTCTGACATCAAAGCTGTGGGACGGTGAGAAGTGAGCTCTGCCAGTCAAAGCATGAAATTATTCAGATGAAATCACCCTCTCCAATCTTCAGCTGTTTCTCCCTCAGTGATGTGACAGCTAATCTGAACTGCTGACAACAAGGAGAGTGAATAACTTGATAGCCTTTCCTCTTCTGTTTCCATCAGATTTCAAGAAGGGTGGCCTGCAAGTGCTAATAACCAAGCAGTGTCTTCGAAGTTGACCTGTTACGCTTTTTGTAATTATAAATGCTGTAGCAATGGTTGGTGGTCAGTTCAGGCTTCAACCTGCTTTTTCTACTCGTGGCTCTATATGAGTAGAGAGGGGAAATCATTCAAATGATCATTTAAGGTACTCAGATCTGGCTATGACAATAAGAGCTTCGAAGACCTGCTTTTAAAACCTTTTGTTTGGGAGGGGCAGCCAATCGGGAGAAAGCTTTCTTCAAGCGGGGTGGTCTTTCAGAGAGAAGAGCTCGTTTCAGGCAGTGGATGAAATAAGTGGCTTCACAGTAGCTTAGTATAAGATAAATTATTTTGAACTTTAAATTATTCACACTACCATAGTCCCAGAATAAAAACATTGAGCTAGAAACGAGCATAAAAGGAGATCTCATGTACTGACTGCACTTGCACTTTACTGTATGCCCATGGTCTAAACTGCATTTAGAAGGAAAATACTCCACTAGATTTCTGATTTTGCAAAAGACAGATGAAAGACCTCCTCTATGCACAAAGCTGTGTCCAGATAGATTTCAAGTATCTCTAAGTGCATTTTTGTGCACTTGCCTTCTTTCTTTTAAAGGTGGAAATGAATGAGAATGCAAACTGAAGCTGAAATATTACACTCAAGCTTTAAACGAGACCAACACTTGCAGTGGGTAAATGTTCAGATAGGTGGCTCAAGAAGGAGTTAAATTACATTAAAATAGATTAAAGAAATAATACATGAAACAAACAAAATTCACTTGAAATTTGCTCGTTTTAATTGCATCATCTGTTTATGATGTCTTCTTCTGCACTGGTTTTATGGCATCTGAGCAACTGTCTTCAGCTGTTTATCTCAGTAGGGGGTTATCTCAAATCCTTAATATTTCACAACAGTGTGTCTTAATATTTTACTTCTATTTTTAGACTGTCTTTAAATTCTATAACATTATAAGCCGGAATTGAGTGGAAACTTTGAGCCGTTTGTTTACGACTTGTTTTAATTTTCACCAACATTGATGATGATTTTCCCTTTACACAAGGTGTCATTTAAGTAAGCGTTAACTGTTAAACTGTTTAAAAGAAAGCAAAAAGTAAATCAATGAGAATTAGTTTTCTAACTTAAAAAACAATTGTTGTAGAATTCATCAATTTATTACCCTACATTTATTTTGTACCCCTTCCCAGACCTTTTAACCTATAAATCGAGAATTCACACACTGACAAATGTCTAAAAGCATAAACATTTGAGTATGAAAGGTCAAAGGTCAAGTCTGAACAAACATGGATGTAATGCTGGTTGGAGGAGGAAGATTGTGACCATTCCACTGTCTCTGCAGCTGGACTGATCTAACAAGAAAGTTTAATGTTTAATAAGTCAAAATGAAATGTTCACTTAAGCTTGTTAGGTTTTCCCCATATCCGGACATAAACAGCCAGACAGACAATGGGCACTTTTCCCTTTTGGGGTTTGTAAGGGCTAGTGCTAGCTTGAAACATTCATCAGCTTTGTTTTAAAAGCGTTATTTGAAACTACTGACTTGTCGCTTTTGGCAACGAGATGTAAAAAGAATATCAGAAATGTTGTTTTGGGGGAAAACTGAGGCACATGAATAATAGATGAGCTTTGGCTTTCCATGTTTGGCCCTCCTGTGCAAAGCGGGCTAATGGCTATCGATGTCTCTAGTTTCCTTCAAATTGCTTCACATGAGAGCTCAATTCAAATGGAGAAAGAGTAGACTGCAGTGAAAAGGAGACGAGGGAATGAAATTATCTCTGAATATTGAGATGCACGCTTGGTCAGCCAATTCGTTGTCCTGACAAGTATCAGGTATCAGCGGAATTAGCCTAATGTTAAATTAAGCCCGATCAAGCAAGGCCTTGAAACATTCCCACGTCTCGGTCCTTGTGCGAGGAAAGATGGATGTACGATCCAACTGGAGCGGCGCCAGAAATGAACAGATGTGCTCCTTGAAATCACGAGAAACAAGAAATCAGGGCTATGTCACTGACACACATGCTCAGACACGCTCTTTTATATCCCCATGTATTCTCTTCCAGATCTAATTAATCACTTGATTATTTTATCTATTTTCACTGGCTGCCATACACATGGGACAATAGTTGGCGAGAATAAACTTGGCCTATATGATGTTAGTTTTGGCAACAATCAAAAAGCAACCGAGGAAATACAGATGGCGATCTCCATTTTTCTCCCCCCCCTCTTTCCCTTTCCCCCTTCATCTCCTCTTCTGATGCTTCCTTGCGCTCTCAAACACATTATTAGGGTATAGGCTAATCTATTCTCCTCTCTCCCTTGTATTTTTGTCTCCTCATACTCAACTAACTAGCATGATTTAGGAATTATGGAATTAGGGCAGCACTCCCATCTCTATTAATGAGGAACAGGATGATGAAAGAGCTTGTTCCTCAATGTGCCATCTGCAGTCACTATTACACATTCACCTAATATATTTCTCTTTCTATTCTTTGCCCTTACCTTCCTCTCTCTCTCTTACACACACACGTGCGTGCGTGCGCACACACACACACACACACATTATACCTTAGTTGTAATTACAGAAGAAATAATTTCAGCTCTTCAGGCACTGTTGGATGTGGCGTGAAATGGTGAAATGGCACAGCAAGAAAGTTAACTATGGACCCCAACACCCTTACATAGACACATGCACAAACACATTTGCAGGAGTCCAGATGGGCCGTGTGTTATTGCTGAATAATGCATGCTATGTAGACTCTATAAAAGATACATGGGCAGAGAGAGCTAAGAATCATTCAGGCACCATGGCCAGTTTGGTGAGGGCAACGTTGGAGCATCCCTTGTGCAAATTTGGAGCTATAACAGGCTTTTCAGCTTGTACATATTTAGCTATAGGTGACCCAACAGGGAAAATATTTAGCTCCAGTTAGAGAGAAAAATAAAACTTGCCTTTTAGACACTGTCAGCTGATATTGTGGCTGGCACTCTGCCCGGTGTCTTTGCAGTCACCTTCAAAAGGCTTTTGTGGTTTAAACCATAAAACTTGGGGAATTACACAGCAGATTCTTTGCTAGAGGCTCGGATTTCAGAGCATCGCTTAGAAACACTATGAAAAATATCCAACAGTCTGTCTTCATGTAAAATACCCAGAAGAGGGGAGGGGCGAGGGGGCGAGGGGGGGAGGTCCAGGTGAAGGGTAAATGCTGCACTCATGTGGGGAAAATGAGCAGCGTTTTTTTTCTTCTTCTTCTTTTTCCTCTGGAGTCATATGACAGGACATGCGCATCATTAAGTGTTGCGTTCAGTGCTGACGGAACGCTCACTTCTCTATGAGTCGCAGTTTGATGCACAGTAAGGCCACAAAGAAAATTGATTAGCAAGAAAGAAAAATTGAAAGCCAAGTAACTTCACACAAGTTGTATTATCTCGTGATTTTGTTAAATCAGTATACAGCAGCTGAAAGATAAACACAGACAAAAAACACAAGTAGTTTAATAGTTATATTTAAGTCAACTTTTCATGTAAAGTTGACTACATGAGAACTAGACTACTTTTTCAGTTTTAGATTGTTAAACCTATAGGGAGAGAAATAATGCATGCCGTGCCTCAAATCATTCTGGGCAACACGTGGGATGCAAGGTCCATTGAAAGTTTTGAGTTTTCATATTTCCGACAGCATTTGAAAGCAGCATCGTAACTTCGGACAGACAGCGGAACCAGTGAAGGAATTCGGGAGTTGCCAGCGCCAGGTTCACATACCGTCAAGAAGGAGGAGTTTTCAGGTGATCTTCTTTTTTTTTTTTTAAAACAAGGAGGGTTAACTGTAAGTATTTACTCCCTTGGTAAATATCTATCTACACTTTCCTCTCAACACAGCTGTTTCAGTGTTAGCGTTAGTTGACAAGAAAGCGGAACTAGCTAACTAGCAGGCCAGCACGTACATTAGCCTGTTTAAGAAATTACCCTCTCGGATTTTACCCTCTTTGCGATAGCTGAGCACCACTGCAAGTTTTCAGACAATGTAAGACAAGTTTAATTCGCTTTGATAAACTGTTTGACATTTGTCTCTTCCTCTTTTGTAACTTTTTCATTGCGTTTAAGAAGTGTTGTTTTGGAAACCTCTCGGCCCCAGTGATAGTGTAATGGGTGTGGGACACTGCCTGAAACTACGGGGGTTTCTTGTAATGCTTTTTCACCTGTTTATCAAGTGATCCACGTTACGTGGCCACTTGGCAGTTAACCACAGTCAGGTGT